AAAATTGAAAATAAAATTCAATTAAAAAAAGGAAAAAAATAATCAACAGAATAAAGATTAAATTTGATATAAAAATTAAATGAAATCAAATGATGAGGGGAAAAATTGAAGAAAAAATCAATTAAAAAGATAAAAATAAATAGTAATCAAAATAATAAGAACAAATTTAAATCAAAAAAACTTTTATATTTTAACATGGAGAAGAAAGATAAAAGAGAAAGAAGAAAAAAAAAATCATTGAAGCCCAACCATTTCTCCTTTATATACATGGGCAATACTAATAGAAAGATTATGATGAAACACATCCAACACTACTCTAAAAGGCAGCGTTTGAATGTGGGATGACACAATACATACTATTTGAATGATGTGGATATAGCTTATTTATAGACACATACATCATAAACACCAACCACTTTTTTAATAATATTAATATTTGTTGAAAGATTAAATCACCCCTAATCAACTTATTAATAATTAAAAGACCAGCTTGAAAATATAAAAAATCCCTTTGATACAAGCTTGCCAAATTTTACTTACAAGGGTAATATAGTATTTACCTTATATTTTTCAAATATAAAAAACCAAATTACCCCATGTAAGCTATTTAATAAATTTTGTTTATAAAGGTAATATAGTGTTTATGTCATATATGTACAAGAAAAAACTATTGAATCATCCTTGATAAACATTTTAAAATATTTTTCTTTTAAGAATAATATAATTTTTATACTGTGTATTTAAAATATATAAATATCAAATTATTTTCAATCAATTTCATAATATTTAATGTGTATGTTAAAAATATCATATTAATCCAAATAGGAAGTTCATTGTTTTTTTATTTGAAAAGCAAAATAATAATTATACTATTGAGGTTAATAATAATCAATAATTAATAATAATCTATATCTAGAGACCATAAATAGAGACCATAAATATTCCGTGCCAATCAGGTTTTTTTTAATATTTAGTAAATTATATTATTTAAGTATTTTAGCTTGACAATTTTTTTTAGAAACTTTATTATTAAAATATTTATTATTAATAAATTATCATGCATTACACAAGATTAAATCACAGAATAATTACAAAACATCTTTATTTAATATTCATGAACTAAATAATTATTTATTCAATGATATCCATAAGCGAGACGATAATAACTCAACATCTTTAATTTCACTTATTAATAATATATATTAATTAAATAACAATTATACAATATATTTATTCATTGATAATTAATGAATATTCATCTTTATTATATTTTTATTGACAATAAAGTTGCTACCTAACAAAAAAAAACTCATCAAATTTAATTAATATTTCATAAAAAATATAACTACAATAATGGCATGCATTATGCTATTGGCTGGATTAAATGTTTTTAAACTTAAAAATATATTCCTGTGTGCGCTGCCAACATTTGTTTTTAGTATATTTGTGTTTTTTAATTTATGTAAGGGTTGATTCGGTATAATTTAATTGATTTGATAAGTTTAAAAATAATTTTAAAAAATAATAAAAATATAATTTGATTAAAAAAATTTAAGATGATATTTTTTTTAAATCTTAAAATAGCAACATATTAAATCAACCTCGGTATAGTTTGTTAAATTCACAACTTTGATTATGAAACCATGATAGTCCCGTAGAAAAAAAATTAAAATAAATTATAAAATTAATTTTCAATCAATTAAATGTTGAGTAATAAAATTTAAAAAACAACATGAGTTAACCCGGGTTAACATGTCAAAAAATCGTGACCATAGTCTTGATATTAGGATAACTTCATAAAAAGAAAATAAAAAATAATAATGAAATTCAATTCCTAATCAATCCAATATTAAAGATGATATTAAAAATAAAATAAAATAAAAAATAAAAAATAACCCAAGTCAAACCAAGTTAATTGGTCAAAAACCATGATATGAGTCATAAAACCAACATTATCTCATGAAAAGAAACAAAAATATGATCAAAGTTAAGCTAAATTAATTTATCAAACCCATGACTTGGATTATAATACTAAAATAATCTTATAAAAAGAAATCCATAACAAAGACTAAAATAATCTTATAAAAAAAAATCCATAACAAATTTGAAAGCACAATTCTCAATTAACTTAATATTAAATGATAAAAAAAATTTAAAAAATAAAAAATGACTTGCATCAATCCAAATTAATCCGTCAAACTCGTGACTTGAGTTATGAAATCAAGATAATCTCATATAAAACATACTAAAATAAATAAGAAAGTCTAACTCTTAATCAGTAAAGTGCTGAATGATGAAATTAAACGAAAAAAATCAATTAAAAAAGAGAGATATAACACCCAAGTTAATTGTTAACTTACTAAATTTGTGATCTTTATCATGAGACTTATATAACCTAAATAAAAAAATTAAAATAAATTATGAGTTAACTTGTTAAACACATGACATGAATCATGAGTCTCGGATAACCCTATAAAAAAACAAACTATTAAGTCTACAAGATTAAAATTAAAAAACAAAAAATAAAACACTATTAACATAAATAATATTTTTATGAGATGATATACAATGAAAATATTGATTTGTTAATATTAACAATAACAACTTAAAAAATAAAAAAAGTATGTTTAATTTGAAATAAGGGTGTATAAGACAGTTATCAAATAAAAAAATTATAAAAAATAAAAAAGTTGAAAGCCCCCTTAATGCTGGGTGCAATGACTTATTAAGAAAATAAAATGGTATTTTAATTTCAATACTGTATTTTGAAAAATAAAAGAAAGAGATATGAATATCAAAATTTAATATTTATTTTTAAGGATTAATAATGATTAAAATAATTATTTTATTAATTATGGTGTCATATATATATATATAAAATTAAAGTCAGTGGTAGCATGAAAAGATAGTGTTAATAATAACAGTGGGATGTAAATACAATAATAATAAAAATGAAAATAAAAATAAAAATAAATTATTATTATATCATTATCATTATTATCATAATAGAAATAATAATAAATTAATAAAAAAATTAATATTAATAAAAAAATTATACTAATAATAATAATAATAATGATAATAATAATAATAATAATAGAATTAATTAACACTTTTTATCCTCACCTCTTACATCAGAATGGAGCTATACTACTTTTAATTTTTATTCCCACTCATCATTTGCATTTATATTCTCATATTCATTCTATTTTTTCAACCATAAACTTACAAAGTAGAAATAAAATTCTCATTCCCACCATTCCATTCTTCGTTGCCAAACAACATATATCTTAATTAAGAGAAATTTCATACTAAGATAATCTTTACATTAATTTAAACCTTTAATTCTCTTTAGAAGTACAAAGGAATCTAATTTTTGGAAAAAAAGAATTCACAGTGAAACTAAACTTATTGTCAAATTTATTGGTAATAAAAAAAAAAAACAGAGTTAAATTAATAAAAAAATCCACTGATAGTTTTTTCAAAGTAAAAAAAAAAATGAAAAGAAAAAGAAGTGTTAATCAATGTCAAAGAAACATAAAAAATGACAAAAGAAAAGTTACATGACATCTAAATCTAATTTTTATTTCATCAAATCCTATGATGTTCGTCAGCTCACAGAAATACAACCTGCATGAGTCTAACGCGAAGGTCAGAATGCCAGAGATTGCCAACAAATTCTTCAGATTCAAGTCATGAAATGGTTCTCCATGAACTTGATGAATATTGTTATTTGGGCTGAAGATTTATAGCTTAGACTTCATGGTGGATATCTCATCACAGATCTCTATAATGTTAGCTCGCAGGAGTAGCTAATGTTTTCGGATGAGAAGATCTCAGTGCATGGCAGCAGCGAATATCTATACCATTGTGCATAGCTCAAGTGTCGGTAGGGTCCTCCCTCCCTCTAAAAGTTCTCGTGATCGAGCCTCTTTCTTGTAATAAATAAAAAAATAAGTGCAGACTTTGCAGATCATCAAGCTTCTTTGCAGATCAGCTTGATGATCTGCGAAGAAGCTTGTTACGTTGTAGTTTCTTTTGTTTCATTTCCGCTGCATGAAAGAAGAAGAAGAAGAAGAAGAAGAAGAAAGGATAATGCAATATACGATCAATGAATATTGGCATGTGTGTTTCACACAAAAAAAAAATCATTATTAAATAAAAATGAACTGAGACGAGAGAAAATTCAGAATTATGACAGAGAGGTAAGAGATTCTTTATACTCGCAAGGGCTTAGGAATTTCCAGAAACCCTTGACTTTGTATCAATATTTGCATGCCTACAGATGAACGGATCGGGCATTCCCCTTATCAGTATTATTTAATAGTAATTATTTTCTTGTTGGTTTGATTTTTACTTATAAAAATAATTAAACTAATTAAATTGATATTTTTTAAAATTTAAAAAATAAAATTGAAATTAATTTTAACTAGCTGGTTTCGATTTTTTTAAAATTTAAAAAATAAAATTGAAATCAATTTTAACTGGCTGATTTTGATTTGATTTGATATTAAAAATAAAATATTATATTATTTTTTAGATATTTTTTAAAATTTTTTAATGAGTTTTATGATAAGTTTGATCTAAGTTGGATTATGTTTTTTTGGGTTTGATTATTTTATAATTATTAATTAAATTGATTTGGTTGGTTAAGATTTTTTGATTTCAAGTTTATAAAACTAAAATTAAATTGAATTAAAAATATTTTTTAAAATACTTTAATAAATTTAATTATTTTTTTATAGTTTTTTTTTTTTTTAATTTTCTCAATTTATCTATTTCTTTTTCACCCCTAGTATTATTTAATTAATGGGTTCCCCTGCTCGCCACCAGCCTAGTTTTTACAGCCCTCAGGTCACTCAATTCCTCCAATGAACGACAGGTATTTCAATTGCCCTTCCCGCTTCACGCTTTTCTGCTCTCAACCGACAAGTCGTGGAGAAAAACCCAAAAATACACTTTGATGTCCAAAAATAAAGGTTCCCGCCAGCACCAAAACTAGGCGCATAAAGGTGAAGATTTTGATAGCTGAAACACCGGAGCAAAAAGAACTACGTCATTTTTAATTAATTGTGGGTTTTGGAGGGTGTCAACAAGGGCGAAGAGCAGAAGAGAAAATGGGAATACAAGGTCTTTTACCTCTCTTGAAATCAATAATGGTACCAATCCATATTAAGGAATTAGAGGGCTGTTCTGTTGCGGTTGATACCTATTCTTGGCTTCACAAAGGTGCCTTGTCTTGCAGCACTCAGCTTTGCAAAGGATTACCCACTTCCAGGTTCCTCTTTCTATGCCTGCATTTTCGATTTTTGTAATGACCCAGTTGAAAAGTTTCGAGCTTTAACCTATCTGAGCGAGGATTTTCTTTTTCTTTTTTCCTTTTGTTTTAATCTAAATAATGGCGACAATTTTGATTGAATTGGGGTAATGGGTTTTCTTGATTTAACGTGTTGCCTTTTTTTGATTGAAAAGCTTGATAAAGCCATGAAGTTGCTTTGGTCTTATTGGATCATTGCGAAGGTTTTTTTTTTTTTTTTTGAAATTTCAGCTCTTTTCTTTTCTGATTTTCTGCTGAAAATCAATTTAGGAACACCAGAGACTTGGTGTTAAATTTCTTTGACATTCTTGGTGGAAAGCTAAAGTACAAGTAATGGATATGTAACGTGTAATTGCTGTCTTCCAAGGAAAAAAATGGTGAAAGAATTATGTATTTCTTATGCGGTTTTACAAAATGGTTGCATTGTGTGTCTGGTGTTTTAGGCACATTGAGTATTGCATGCACAGAGTAAATTTGCTGCGGCATTATGGTGTCAAGCCAATTTTAGTCTTTGATGGAGGTCTTCTGCCAATGAAGATTGAACAAGAGAACAAACGTGCAAGGTATGGTACATATCTTTAAACATCTCAGTTCTGCTTTTGAATTGACAATAAATGCATAAACTCAAGCGCTTAAAAACTTACTGAAAACAATACTTCCAGCTGAGACTGGCTAGAAGTACTCCTTTTGACTATTTGAATGTTTTGCCTTCAGGTGTCAGTTGTGCAGTCCTATATTTGATGTCTTTGGTTTAGTGAAATATTTTTCTTCTTCCAAATCTTGTCAACAATTGCTTCTCTTGGAGTGTAAGTTGGTAATGTCTGTAGGTTTTCTCTGGGTACCAATGCTTAAAGTGTCTGTTTTCTATGTGCTTATGGTATGTAGTTGTATAGATGGGGAACTGAAAATGTTTGACTTCTGTCCGTAGCTGTTTAATTGTCATGTTTCCTACCTGGTGAAAACACTTCCTGACACTTCTATACTTTTCACTTCCACTTATAAATTTTTTTTCTTCACATGATGGCCTACAGTTCTGACACGAAACTGTTTCCCCTCTTAGCCCGATCAATTTTAAACATTTGTTAGTTATATCCCACTGTTTAGTCTCACTTTTAATATGGATTTGGGACTTGTTTTGACATTTCATTGGCCAAAACATGTGATCATGCAAAACTGGTAACGTTGAGATGTTATGCACTCTAACAAATGCAGGACAAGGAAAGAGAACCTTGTGCGTGCTATTGAGCATGAGTCAAATGGAAATTCTGCAGCTGCTTATGAGTGCTATCAGAAGGCTGTTGATATTTCCCCTTCAATTGCACACGAACTAATCCAGGTAGAAACATCATGGAAGACGAGTTCTCAAATCTATTTGCAATCAGATTTTTAGCATTCAGGGAAGCAAAGTTCTCCATCTTATCTGCAATTTCATTCATGGTTATTCTTAGTACTGCTGATATTAACACCTCTATTGATGTGATTGCATGTGAAAGGTCTTAAGGCAGGAAAATGTATCATATGTCGTGGCTCCTTACGAGGCAGATGCCCAAATGACCTTCTTGTCGGTTTGCAAACAAGTGGATGCAGTTATCACTGAGGACTCTGATCTAATACCTTTTGGATGTCATCGAGTGAGTCATTTAGCAGTGGATTGTCTAAAAAACTTCTTGTTATTGTTGCTCTTTTACACTTATGTTGAACCCTGGACTCTTTTCATCCCAAAGACGCTTTAACAATTCCTTTCTTTCTAAGTTCAGATTATTTTCAAAATGGACAAGTATGGGCAAGGAGTTGAGTTTCAGAATTCCAGGCTTCAAAAGAACAAGGATATAAGTTTTGTGGGTTTCACAAATGACATGCTTCTTGAGATGTGCATTTTCAGTGGTTGTGACTATCAACAATCATTACCAGGAATGGGACTGAAAAGGGCACATGCATTAATTACAAAGTTCAAAAGCTATGACAAGGTGAATTTATTGTGCGTGTAATAAGAAAAGTTTCCTTGCAAACGAGCAGGATGTATATCATATTGTGATTGGATGCTATAATTCATTTGACTTTTTCCCTATTTCTCAAGTGCTTTAATTTCTGTTCAGTAGGTTTTTATTATTTCTGCAATATACCAATTGACGATCAATGCCTTCTAGGTGATCAAACATTTGAGATATAGCACAGTGTCTGTTCCTCCACTTTATGAAGAATCATTCAAGAAAGCAATATTGACTTTCAGGCATCAACGTGTTTATGATCCTACTATGAAAGATATTGTACATTTGTCTGACCTGCCTGACAATATTGGCAATGATTTGGAATTTTTGGGCCCATATCCTTCAAACAGAATTTGTCACTATTCTCTTATTCATTCAACTTTTTATTTATTTTTGAAGCTCTTTGGGCTGTACCTTAATGTGAAATACATTGATACCGCAACAGATAGCTACAGGTATAGCAAAAGGGGATCTGGATCCGTTTACTCAAATGCCATTCCAGGTTAGCTTCTTCGTCTACATTTTCTTTGTGGTTTTCTCCTCTTCTTCAAGTTTCAAGATTGTAGATGCTTCTTCTTTTAGACCATGAATTTAGTCAACTTATTTTGGTAGTTAGCAGCAACTCTTATTTATTTCTGCAACACCTAAAATGCTCAGATAGTATTTACATGAAAAGAATTCTTAAGTAATTGTTAGATTACTGTTGTTACATATATTGTATATAGAATGGCCAATGATGTTGCTTAATTAACAAAATCACGAAAAGGAAAATTAGAGAGATCAACAAAATATACAAAATCTAAGTGTTATAACAGATGAGTAGCCTGCATTCTTGATGTTCACTTGCAAATGCAAAATTATCCACTAGATGCAGTCCACTAAGAATTAAAGATTTGAGCATCTGCAACTCTTGCTGTTAGGATTTGACCTGCTTCTCTGACTGGTAAAATTCTATGAGCCCTTGGTTCAGTGCTCTGAAGTTTCTCATTTAAAAAACTGTCAACCAAACTTTAATTTGGCGTACAGACAGTTTCCTTTTTAACAAGAGTGAAGATATTAGTTGAGGAACTTAGATATAGAAAAAGCAATGAATTGAATATGAAATGAAGGGCTTCAGTGAGCTATTCTGTCTTCTGAAAATGACATTATAACATCTCAATTACATGATTTCCAATTGCATTTCTTTATGGCTTGATCTATGCAGTCATACTTCCTATCATGGATTTTCTGCGGAGTATTTTTTTTTCCCTCAAGGAAGAGAACATAACAAACTAACACTTTGCTTAGCTTCTCAATTTTGCTAGCAGTGTTTTTCTTAAATTTTAGTTTTCTCTGCAGTTACAGGGAGAAAGTAGCAGTTCTGTGCTGGTACCTAATGTAACTACCAAATGCAAAAATTATAAACTGGAAAGTGGAAAGAAAAAGCTAGATTTGCCTGTCCAGAAGAATCTGCTGACTAAGTACTTCTGTATCCAATCAAAGAATTTTCTGTAAGAGTTGGCTAAATGATTTTGGTTTTCATATGTATATATTGAATATTTTAGAAAATGAATTGGAAAATTATTACATACTTTATTTTAACTGAAATCCACTGCAATTATTATGTACTAGATTAGTTGCCCGTTGAATGTTTTCAAACAAGGGTAAAAGATACAGGGGATTTTAAATTTTTGGTCAATCATTGTAATGCTTCTCATCTGTCCTGCTCTCTCTGTGTTTATAGGAGTCTTTTTAAGTTGTTTGTGATGGTTCTACCTCCATCAAAGGTCTGACATTGAGGTGCAAACAGATGTTGTGCCTTGAGGTTATGGTAGAAAAGGGCAAGGCTTCTAAGATGGAATTCTGGATGGAGATGATATATTCATATGCATAAATGTGTTTTTTATGTATGCATAAATCCTATTTCTTTCTAGTTTTCCTTAATGCTACAAGGCTTTTCATCTCTGGAAGCAAAGAGAAACTTCAGAGCACCTCAGTTGTCACCTACAAGTCCAAGTCTGGTGATTCACACTTCTTCGAGTCCCAGCGATAATGGTAGTGAGGAGCCTGGTTCTTGTAATACCAGCTGCTCTTCAGCATCCTTAGTTGTCTCTAAGAGTGACAGAAACAAACTCCACGGCAACAATGTGAGTAATGCTATAAGAGATGATAAATTCAATTGATGTGATTTGTTTTCAGTTGAATTTCTTTTCTTGCCTTTATTTATAGTTTTGGAAGTTTCTCCTGCAGGTGGAAAGTTGTTTTCCAGATGGAGTTCATGAGTTTATGGAGTCTCCAAGTCCCAGTAAGGATTAAGGAAATAGCTTTCTTCATAGTTCATACAGGTATAAATTGTTGAGTTAACTGAGCATTTAGTTCTTACTCGTATTTTTGAAACATGAAGGCAAGGTGGATGTGAAGGGGCCTCCTGAAAGTATTTTGCTACAACAAATTGGTCATTCAATGCGTGGACCTTGTCAAGCATTGCTGAAGGAGTGTAATAATGAGAACGCTCCAATTTCTGTTGAGGGGAAAACAAGAACAGAGAACAAAAGGGTCATTGTTAGGAGTCGTTTCTTCCAGCACAAGTCAATGAACAAGAATGGCCAAGACAATAAACAAGAAATGATCAGAGTCAAGGATGATGTTGCCAGTGATACGTTTGAAGATAGCATCCTTGAGGGATCTGAACATGGAAGAACAGGGGACAGAGAGATCACTATAAGAAGCTCTTTTTTCCAGCACAAGTCAGTTAATGAGAATGATCAAGGCAATAAACAAGAAAAGCTCTTAGAAAGGGATGATTCAGCCAACAATATTTATAAAGATTTCATTCTTGAGAGCCCTTCTGACAATAAATGTTCAAATGGCATCATGATGAAAAGAAAGACATCCCCAGATGACAATGTTCAAAGAGTAGGCGCTTTCACCTTTCACCTTTTTTTTTTTCCATTTCATTTTCAAATTATATCTATTAATACCAGGACTCCTTCATCGTTTTGATTGTTCAGAACATGGAAGTGAAGCACATGCGCACAGATGCATCTCTTCCTGATGATGGTATGTCTTATTTATGAGATTGCTTTCCAGAATTCATTCTGAAAATAACTTTTTGTGCATTGAAATGAAATCCAATATGGATTTGCACAGTAATATTATGGTAGGCATGGGCACAGTAGTATAATGGTATGCAATATCAAGATGTCATTCAAACACAGACCTACTTAAACTAGGCATCTGACCAAATATCAATTGGAATCAAGAAACAAATTGATCATATCCATTTGTTCTTTTTGAAATCTCGGATGAATTAGACTTCAAGTTAGTTTACTCTACCATGGAAAGTACAATTTTTTGAGCAAGACACCTTTCTTTTTCATTAAACTGTCAATTGATTACTTACCAAGCTTATCAAACTAATTATATGCCTTGTATTAATTTTTAGGTCAACATGTGATAGCTACTTTCCTCTCCCATAACTGCAATTGTTATATTTAAACTGTCATCATCATATAATGCTCTGTTTTGATTTTGGAAGCTTAATATGGCTTCTTAACACTCATTGAGGCATATTGAATGAAGCACGCATACACACTATGATTTTGTCCATACCTGATGCGGTATAAAGGGTCAAGGTATTCAGATATAATTGCCTGGAAGTTATTTTATACTTTTACGGGTAAATTTATTTAATTTAATAATCAAGTCTTTGTTGTGCCAAATGACGTGTTAATATATACTGTAGTGATTGACACCACACCTCACCTCTTTTCCAATTCCAGTCCTCAGAACAATACACATAATGAAAAATAATGATTCACAGTCAGACATATTTAGTGCATGAATGAGATGTATCTTCATGTAAAGACTTTTGAATTGTGACTTTTTAGGCATAAAAGATGAACCTGTATGCATTGGGTTAGGTGTTGAATATACATCAACCATTTGTTCATTCTCTAAAAGTAACAATTTTTTAACACAAAAGAAAACATTTCATGTTCATTTCTTTCCTTTCCTTTTTTTTTTTTTTTTGCCTTTTTTTTTTATACCTTTTAAGTTTGG